GGCAAAATCGACGTTCCGGACGCGCTGGCGCAGTCCGTTTCGTCATCCGGGGTCGCTCGGACGACGTCGTCGACAATCGGGTCAAAACGCGTCGAAATTCAAATTTCACCAAATATTGACCCGCGATCGATCGTCCCAAAAGGTTTACTCGAGCATTCGACAAGTAACAGCAGAGACAATGTGAATTGCGGCGATCGGACACGTCGACTCTCCGAATTGCGAAGCTGGTGCGCGCAAAAGTGCGAATTGTGCAGAAGGCCACCCTAAGGCTCGGAAAGGTCCTATAGGAATCCATTTTGGGTTTCCTCATGTCGGTTTCATCCTTCTAAGTGTTAGAAGTCGATACCGTACACGCGAAACTCCAAAAGAGGACGGAAATAGGTCGAACTAAAACAAGGCGGGCACCACTTCTAAGGTTCTAAGATAGTCGCAGGGAGACCCCTAAGGCTAGATCCTAACTCCTACGAGAAATACTAGACCTCACGAAAATTGAGGTTAACATCCTGTCACCAGATATGCATGAGAGTAATCCCGTGCTGCGTGAATCGGTCCAAGTCGGGACCATCCAAAAGAACCCAGACCAGTCGGCTCAGCTTAGATTTGGTCCGGGCGATCCCAACACTCGGGTGGAGCCTTCCAAGCCATTGATCACGTTTAGAAGGAAAGGGATTGTAGGGGGACTTTTGGGGGAAAATTTGAAAGGGACTCGAAGGAAGTATGTATGTATTAGTGCCTAAGGGCTAGGGTTTGTTTTTTTTTATGCATGCTTTGTTGGCGGCTGCATTCTTTTCTTCTTGTGGTGTTCTGAGGGATGTCTAAGTTTGTGGGAGAGACGGTCTACCTTTCATATAATAGATCATCGTTGTATCTTGCTTGTTTTCCTTTGATTTTTGTAAGAGCAGACCTTGTTTGAATTTTTTTTTCACCTATTTATTACCGTTTTGTTGTTTCGTCGTTGATTGCTTTCTAATTTTGATTCCGGAGCATATCAGTTTAAGCATAATAATAGTAACAAACTATGTCATGATGAATCATAAAGTCATTGCAAAGTTCTAGTTAATGATTTGTTTTTTGTGGCTATAATTCTCTGTTAAGTCGGTTATGAAACTATTTTAGGAAAAAATGCTGATTTGTGTGTGTGTGTGGAAGATTAAATTATAAAATCTTGAACTGAGAAACAATAGAATGCAAGTTTATGAGCTCAATGTAATGCTTATTTGAAAAACAAAACTGATAGAAATCTGTCTAAAATAGACCCTTAGTTTTCAGAATTGGTATTAGTAGAATGAGCAACAATCTTCAGGAAGCTTGTCTGAGTCCACGTTAAACTGATTTTGTAAGTTATTGGTTTGCTCATTTCACTATGTAGAAGTTGGGATAAAGAGGCTACCTTGTTTTCATGCCATCTTGCAAGCCAATGTACATAGGAGTCAATGTTAGGGAGTGGAGGGAAGTAACCTTATGTTATGCTTTGAAAACACAGTTGTGGAGGATTAAACTAACATATATGAATAGTCATGAGAGATTATAGGGTTGATGCATAAGAATTTCAGCTAGCTAGCTGTTCTTGTGGAGTGAATTTTAATATTTGTTAGTTAAACGTGGTTTTTTTTTGGCAGTCTCTGTGAAGCTCATCTACTTTTCTGCCTATGCTAGTGGAGAAGTATTTATAGTGCCTTCCAAGAAAGCAACTGCAAAATCATTCGAGTTTATGAGTGATTATTTTTTTTTTGTTATTTTTTTATTGTATAGAAAACTTATACTGAGTACATAGGTTAGGTACTTTATTTTGAATTGGCTTTTCTATGATTATTTGATAGTGCTTTGCCATATCTGGAGCTAAAAACTGATTAAAAGACAATGTTTTCTTTCTGAATGATGAAAGCATGCCCCTCGAATATTGAATGAAGGGCCTTTCTGTTTTTCAATTAAAATCCTTCTATGCAGTTTTTTTTTTTTTTTTCTGTTTGCTTTAGTAAGGGCTTTTTACTGTCTCTTGTTTTTGGTTTTAATGCGTAAAGATAAATCAGTGTTATTATTTACTGTCATATTTCATCATTTAGCATGAAACCCACTAACATGCCCATCTGATGCTGAGCTAATTGGTTTCAACGGCCACTGTTTTCATTGTTTATAGGAATCCTGCCACATTTCTCCATGCATACACTTGCCTTCCGCTTGCTTATTCCACCAGACAAGCTGCTGGTGCTATATTGCAGGATGTTGCCGACTCTGGGGTTCTATTTGCAATATTGATGTGCAGGCATAAAGTTAGTAGAAAATCATTTCTCTTGTTTCTTTTTCACGCTTCTCTTTGCAAACTTTCTTTTCAAACTATTATTAGTTGAATTGTAAGTTTGATTGAAACTATAAAGCTGAAGATTCATGTTGGATGGAAAACTGACGGAAATGATTCATATTTCATATTTAAAATTCTTTTATTTAAGATTTCTGTGCATTGTGCTACGTTTGAACCATCTGTGAGATCTGAAAATCATCTCACTTTATTGTATTTAAAGAATTTCGATAATGATTAATGATTATATGTTGGTCTTATGCAATTGCTAATCCATAATTCTTGTCAACTACTTGCTCCAACTCCATCACCCATTTAAAAATACATGTTGGGTTCTGATAATAGTTGGTACACAAGAGGATCAAAGTAATTCATTTATACAGAGATTAATAGTCTGAATAAAGATGCACGCCAAGACACGGGCATCATCAATTAACAATACATAACACAGACGTGTTGGGCACTATATTTAAAAAAAATTGTTATCATAAAATAAAATCACATCGCTCATAATTTTGAAGGACTTCTGAATTAAGTATAACACATATTTTTTTTTGAACAGTCATGGAAGAATTACTTCAAGTTAATACTATAATGGTGGATAGAGGTAGAGAGGAAGAATTAGAAGAGAATGCAAAATAAAATAAATTAGGTTTAAAACTAAATTAGCGAGATAATTTGAGTCTAATATACGCCTAACACTTGCTTAAAACTGCTCCTGAAGCGTGCAACTGTCTAAGAGTTCTCTTTAAATGGTGAAATTTCCTCAACAAATAAAAATAAAGGTGTGTTACATGGCATTTCCAACTTGTGTTTGAATACCCTAAATGTTTGTCACAATGTATCATACTACATAATGTGCTAGTAGAAGTGCCCTTGCATCATAATACACAGGTTCATTTGCGTCAAGCAACTTACATGTATAAGGAATTTGAATGCAGTTGTTATGCATCAGGATGGATGTTGATCTTTGTTACCTTAGGAAATTTGCTTACGACTCTTCTATGAGAGTAAGTTGTTTCAGATCAAGTTTTTTAGAAGGTAGATTAAATTTTTAAATAGACACTACTTAGAGTTATCATTGGCACAAGCTCCTATGATTAATTATTCCTCCCAATAATGAAAAAGCTTTTAGTTACGACTGATTCTTAGGCACTAAGTGGTTAGTTTATAGTAGTAGCATTTTAGCTTTAAAAGGAGAAAATTTACGCTCTTTAGCTTTGGGCAGATGGTGAGGGAAAATGATAACGAACAAGATCAGTGTATCACAATTTTGTTACCTTGGGTTATCATGGACTCTAAATTACTTAGAGTAGATTATTAATCCAATTTGATTGAAGGATCATTATCAATAGCCATTAGTTGCAACATTTGAAGGGACCTTACTTGGGATAGGTGTTTGTTGAAGGGGACAAATTTAAATAAAGTTTTACTGATAGAGAGCTTCATGCTCTATCAACTGCACTTCATGGTTCATTACTTGGGGGAGTTAAGACATTGGAGAACTTGCGTGCTTTGGTTGATGGTAATTTTATGGCATTTTTTTGTGGCGAACCACCTAATCATATGAGCATTGATGATAATTGTATCTTTTTTTGGTTCCATTTTGCCGTAAAACTATCTTGTTAGAGGACATGTGTCACATTCTTATTGGATTGGGTGACATGTGTTTTAAGGGATTTAATTGTGCCAAGGGAATGAGTGGTGGATGTAGCAGACCCCACTTAGTGGGATAAAGACTTGTTGTTTTTGTTTTGTTGTTGTTGTTGTTGTGAAGGGAATGAGTGGTGGATGGGCATGAGTGCAGGAAACAAAAATGTAAGCTTTGATACCATTTGATGGGATTTATGTGGAAGAATTTGCAGCTTTGACTTAATTTAATGGATTTCATGAGGGAGTAGAAGTGGACCTTAATTGAATCTAGAGTGACAATCCCTCATAGAATCAATATTTGCTTTTATACCAAAACAAAGAAAGATTGATTGGCGGTGATGCTACACAATGGAATAGATCTTGATGTTGTGTTCTTGGAATTGTTCTTTCCTTGGAGAAGTGTGTGGCTAATAGGAAGGGGAAGCATAACGAGGTTCAGGAGTGAGGGCTCTTGGCTGTGAAAAAGTGAGGATAGAAAGAGCTGTAAAGTTCAAGAAAGAAGAGTTAAGGAGATTAAGGGTCTGTTTGGGGCAGCTGCAGCTTATTGAATAATCTGATGATAAGTTAGGTGCGATGGCTGTTACAAATTTTTATTTTTTTGGAAAAGCCAGACAGCTGCCAAAAAGCTGCCACCGCACTTAGATAGGTGCAGTGTGAAAACGCTGTTTGAAAACGCTGTTTTCGGCATTTCTTTCGGCATTTCGAAAACGCATAAGCTGCCAAAACGCAGTTTACCCAAACAGGCCAGGTGCGTTTTCAAAACGCCACCGCATCAAATAAGCTGCCCCAAACGGACCCTAAAAACTATAGTTTCATATTCATGATAATCACGTCTAATGCAAAATACAAGACTAGAATCCTTTGTATACGGCTAAAATGATTTTGTCTAAAGAAAGATGTTCTTGTTACTTGTGTGAAAATAAAAAATATGCTTAAAAACTAGGTTGATATTGTAATGAACATTAACTTGATATCGACACATGATATTTATGAATATATAATTGAAGAACTACAACTATTGATGATTCTGCATCTCTTTAATTATAAGATATTTTGAACTATTGGATTAGACAAAAACAACAAATGGGATGGTTAAGTTCATAATAATGAGATGAAGGATCCAATGCCCTTTTTCTTATTCTCTAAAGGAGAGGACTATGGCTCACGCACCCGTACAAAAATTACCTATTTTCTTTAAGTCATGTTTTTCACTTGCAGCCATAAATAACTTTTTTCTTGTAGCCTTCTGGCTGCAAATGTGTATGGTTTTCTGAATGTATGTATAATGATGTAATATATCCTTGAATGCACTTTGCATATGGTAAGAAGCCATTTTTCTACCAATGTGAAAATTATTTTGAAGTATTAAAAATTCTGTGATCGAAGAACATATCATCTTTTTCAAGTTCATATCACTCTTTGGTTATGCATTCTCTATAACTTGGTTTTTCTGCAAGTTCTGGTTTCTTCAGATAAGACAATCAATTTTTAGGCCGTTAAAGTATCCTGGACTTGTATTTATTTGTTTAATGAATGTAGTGATGGCCCTTCACATCCATTTCTCTTACAAGAGTATCAATATTTTGGTTCTATGCTCATGGTTGGAGTGAATTTTCTTATCGGGTTGCATTGTCATGTGATTTTTTTGCCTGTATAGGTTGTTAGTCTTGTTGGAGCTCAAAAAGCATCTCTTCATCCCGATGACATGCTCTTACTTTCAAATTTTATATTGTCTACGGAGTCATTCAGGTTTGTGAATAATTTCCTTGTAGAAACCTACTATGCTCTTAATTTGGTTGAATTAAGTGATCAAGGAATTTTGTAAAATGAACTAGTTGGCATGATCACTATCATAAATGGCAGTCATTTTGGCTTTTATTTTTGTATGATGATATAAAGGGAATTGATTGTTATACGTTCAGATTATTTTTGTGTTTGCAATTTTGTTTGCGCTTTCAATTCACTAATCTGAAGCGTAAATTTGCTTTTGTTACAAAGAATTCTCAAGGTATAGTTGTTGAAGCCATAAGGCATTTTAACAGTAGAATCCTGAAAACAGAAAACTAGGAAGCCAATATCTGTCCAGCAAAAACAAAAATCATTGATTTTTTCATGATTATGCTTTTACAAAGCATAAAGGGTTCTTTGTAAAACAACCTGCAAATTGAAAGTCAAAGCTACCATTTAAGGGTTTATTTCATAATAGCCCCATGAAAATACCCCATGAAAATACAAATAACATGAAACTACTTATGCATAAGTATAATCATTCTTTATCATCAATGATCCTACAATAGCCATCATCAGGTTCACGGCATGGGCAGTGCTCTCACGGGAAAGTACGAGTGATGGAATCTTTCTATAAGGTTGAAAGAGCAACAATGCAATCTATTATAAGAATTTATGAACCTTGAAGGTAGATGTTAACTAGGGCTACAAATCAACGAAGTTGAGCTGAGCAAGAGCTTGCTTGAGCATAAGCTCTTTTGCCAAAACCGTATTCGAGCTCGAGGTTGAGCTCAACTTGATTATTGTAGTAGTATTCAAGTTTGAGTGTTTAAAATAATGAATATTTGAGCTTGGTTTTGAGCTTAGTTTGTTAGCTAATCATGAGAGTTTTGTCAAGCCTATCAGTGAATAGTGAACAAGACTATCAACCAATTTGTTAGTTTGCTCAATAAGTTTTTCATCCTATTAATTAGTGGTTTATGGAGCTTTAAAAATTAGATTTTAGTTGAATGAACAATTAAATAAACATGCATTTTGATGAGCATAAGTAAGAAGTTTGCGTTTATAAACAAAACAATCTAATACAAAAAAAAAAATCATATAGTCACATCAACAACAACAACAACAACAAAGCCTTAATCCCACTATGTGGGGGAAATAGTCACATATTAGATAAATTTATAATTGAGTCTTAACTGGGCTTATTTTGAGTCTAATCGAGCTTCATGATGAGTTTGTTCATGAGTTTTAAATTTTTATTATTTATGATCATAAATGAAGCAAATATAAAAGTTTTAATTTTTTTTATTTATCAATTGAATATTTGTAAAAGTGTTCACGCTTATTCTATTAGTTTATTGAATGTGCTTTCATCTTTTGACTACCATCAATGGTGCAAGCATTGATGGAAATTTTTTTTTTTTATATCAAAGTTTAAATTTTTTTATTTATCAATTGAATATTTGTAAAAATGTTCACGCTTATTCGATTAGTTTATTGAATGTGCGTTCATCTTTTGATTACCATCAATGGTGCAAGCATTGATGGAAACTTTTTTTTATTGCTTTAAATTCATTATGATGTTTATCTTGAGGAACCTCATGACCAACTCCATGATTTATGTGATGTATAGAACATTAAAAAGTTCAAAATAGTCCTTTTGGTATTAGACTATCAAATGTGGCCAATTTAGCCTTTTGACTCATAACATTTATTTCAAAATTTTATCTTGACTCTTCAAATATGATCCAAAGTTGCCCCTTTGCTAGATTATTTTGGATTAAATTTAAGAAATCTAGGGACGAAACTGGATACATTTATATTCTTGGACTAAAATAGCCTTATTCAAATTATTTTGATTTTTTCTCTATTTATAATCATGACCCTAAAATAGTAATTTGGAAGGAGTTCTAGTGGCTTCTTATAATCTTTTTGTTTTCCTAGCTTATACGATTATGATGTTTTCTAGAATCCATATGCTCTATAGGGTTATTAGCCAACATTTGTGGCAGTCTTAAGTGATCGAGAAAGTGAAGCATGATTTCTATGAAAGTATGTTCTAAGAGTTGCATCATCGAGCAATTGTTCTATTAAAAAAATTGAGTTGTTTGGAGGAAGTGAAGATCTTCTATAAGGTTGATTTTTTATTTGGTCATTTTAAGCAAGAAGGAGCATCATGAGATGTTCTTGTGCTAATATTTGTAGGTTGATTCATTCAAAATCTAATATTTGGCTAGATATTTTATCCAACTTATTCATTTCTCAGTCAATTTTATCATCTAAATAGATAGATTTCCTTACGTTTATTGTCGTGCTAATTACTATGTCATCTATCTTATTTTTAACTTATTTGAACTATTTTGACAACATGTCTTATTCATATTTTAACGTGTTAAAAATCATGTGGGTATTATGATTTAAAAATAAGCACGAATGATGTTGTTAACAGGATAATCCCACATAAAATGTTGAACTAATTACTCGTTTTTAAAATGCTTTCAAATTTTAATTATAAAATCAGTTCAACAAATGCTATAATAATTAAAAAAAAAACTGGTGGGGTTACACTAGTTTATATATCAATCATACACAATTTAGGCTTCTACAACTCATGAAAATAAAGTTTCGAACAACTTAACTCTCAATTTGTTGTCAAAGTTAATTACTAGTTTTTTAAAGATAGGAACTATACGTGGCACTAAGCTTGACAGTTAATAAAAGAGAGATTCATATTGTAGAGCACGATCAAATTTTAACCTTGATGTAGTGTTTTTAGGAAGTAGAGTAGTTGATATTCAAAGAATTATCAATAATTTTAGAGGAAGGGGAATGTGTTTCTTATCCTTCTTTTCTTTTGATTTCTTTTTTTCCATAAGATTCATTTTTTTTTTCGGAAAGATTATTGGTTCAGTGGTTTAAATAAATAATTAGGAAATGCTTTGAGATGCATGCTTATGATAGAGTGGTATATGGTGCTCTGTAGTTTCGCGCCAAACTTTGCTCAGAATTGAAGTGGAACCAGTTATATGAGGTTTATTTAGCAGTGAAATTAGATTAGATTGCTAATTTTATGGAGGAATTTTTGGAACTATGCTGACAATTTGGAATTAAATATGTAACTTTAGATTTAGATTTTATTGGTTTTATCAGAAAAGTTTGGAGGATGAGGGATTCTAGGAGATGAGGTGGTTGATAATTGAATTTTGAATTCAAATATAAAATATGAACTTCCATGAGAAAGTTTGAATTTGTTGTTGAAAAAATTGAGGGTAGTCGAGGGAATTTAGGAAATGAGGTAAAAGACGGGGTTATGGACGATGAGATCATTGAAAATTTGGATTTCTTAGTTTTCTGTTCGAGTGAGGGTAGAGTTCAATGGCGGAGGGATGAATATTTTCATGTAGAGTTGATTTTCAATTTTGTCATGGAAGGAGAGAAAAAAATGCAGGAAATTAATGTAATCAAGGGAAATAAATGCTGGACTTTGAAAACTAGTGCAAAATAGTAGAAAGTTTACCATGAGACCAAATTGGTGGGTTTGGAACAAACTTGTAGATTTATTTGGAATTTGGAAGAAACAAAACTAAGCTATATAAAACTGTGAATTCTCAATTTTAGATGCCGAATTCTCAGTGTATGTTAATGTTTGAATCTAGAAAACAGAAAGTACGAGCAGCTGGAAATTTTCATTTGACTCTTCATAGTTCCGATTATTTTTTTTCAAGTATGATAGGCTATTTATTGAAATATCCTAAAAGTTTGAAATCCCCCTAAGGGAAATTATCTTTATGAAAATAATAATAGTATAAAAAAAGCTTTTTCCAATTAAACCTTTACTTAAAATATATAGAAAAATTGATTTTGTTCCTCATTTGTCTTGATTAGCACTAATAGTATGGTAAACGACATCATGTAAGTCTCCTGGATGCTAGTTATAAAATAATCTAAATGCAATGACGTGTTTGAATCTGAAGTCAAGACACAAAAAATGTTATCCTCAAATGATTTTGGTTAAGAGTTTCAAATTGAAGGCGCCTTATAATTTTCATTACATTGAGTTGTATCTATTTCCCTTCGTGGTTAATATGAGCTGATAGGTGAGGATGCGTACTGATTTACCTTAAGTCCATTAATTTTCATGTGGAATACCACATTTTGCTAAGAAAAAAGAGGTTTATGATAAGGGTTATTTTTGCCACATTTTTATTTTATTGATTTTGTCAAACTTATATTGTCAAATCTACTCCAACATTATGGAAGCCATTATGACAATTTGATTAATGGTTGCTGTCAAATTTTAAAAGTTTTAAATTGGGAACGGAGATGTTTTGCCTTAGCAATGTGAGGTATATGCTTTGAGGCAGATTGGGCCTAAGTCTCTAGAAAGAAAATCTCATAATTAATTATAATATATAAATATGACATAAATCATTGAAATGTTGATTTAATTTATCATCATAATGACAATTCAAATACCGTTATCTTAAATATTAATATAAAGTATAAAATTGAAATATGAATGTAGGTAAACATTCACTTAAAATTTAAATATTTCACGAGTTCAAGATCCATATTGGTCTCATCCTTACTTCCATCATTTTCAAAAGAATCATCATGTTTATTTTCATCTAATTATCTTATTTACAACTTTAAAATGTTCTTTATTCACTAAAATTTTCTTCTTAGCATCAATTAATCTGACTTTAACATAAGAGAATAAACTAGTGACATAATTAAGTAATTATAATTAAATTATCTTTTGACCTTTTTGAATCATTGCATCAAATATATAATATAAATTAATATAAAATAAAATAAAATAATATAATTTTTTTTGGCATAACTTGATTGAAGCATTGCCTCAAATGATTAGGCGTACTTCTCAGACGAAAAAGGTGCAAGCCTTACTAGTGACATTGAGGCTTAAGTCTCGAGATTTTTTGTGCGCCTTAGTTAGAACCTCGAGGCGTAAGCCTTGTGATACCAAATTTAACTCAAACCACATTAGGAAAAATAAATATTGTTACTCAAAAGCAAATAAACGGTTACGACTCACACACTGAAAGGGGAACTACAACAAATACGACACAAAAACTCACACTAGGGTGGATCTAAGGTGGTGGTGGCCGTTAGGGGTTTGGAAGTGCTGGCAGATGATTGGGATGGTTGGGTGGTGGTTGGAAGGTGGCAGTTGTAACCGGAAAGAGATTTTGGGGTGGCTGTTTGGGGGTGGCATCAAGCGTGTGGTGACTGGACAACGATATGAAAACAAGAAGGGTTTGAGGGGCTACGGTGGTGATGGAGGGACAGGGTAGAATAACTAAAGGAAAGATTGGTTGGCTGTGGCAGGAAAGGTGGGGGTCCAAGACAGTGAAAACAACGAAGTAGGTGGCTAGGACAGCGAGGGGACAATGAAGGGGAAGGGCGTTGGATTGTGGGACAACATAAGGGAGGGCTGTCTAGGGACTGCGACAATGAGGGGATAGTTGGAAAGATTGCGGAGGTGTTGGGTAAGGATAAATATTCATGTGGGATCGAGCTACAGCCAGAGCACCAGTTGAACCTTTGGAGAAAGTCATCTTCTCGGATGAGATATAGCTGAAACAACACTAATCGTTGGATACAACCCTAGAAAGGAAAATAGCTCGACGGCTGGTTTGGACAAAAAATGAAATCTAGAAGAAAATTGAACCCTAAAACAACAAACAACATATTTATAATAAGTACTAGTAGTTAAATACGAAGGACATGGAATAGGAAGGAAATAGAATTAGGAAGGGAATAGAAAAAGGCAAGGAACCAAATAGGAAAAAGGTACCGCGAACCTGGAATGCTTTTTTATGCTATGATTATTATAATTAGAATTATTCATAATATATGTTATCAAGACATATATTGTTGCTTATCAACTTGCTTTAGGTTTTGTTTTGCTTCAGCTTTCTACATGCTTTTGCTGTAAGAAAAACAACCAGTCAAAGAAATAGTTTTTTGGAAGAAAAAAAATTGGCCACATTTTCCTTTTCTTCTACATAATTTGCTTTGGAAAAGCTGAATTCGAGAAACCAGAACAATAACTGCTACCAAACTATAGCTTTTAAAAGATATTGAAAGTAAAAAACAGAAAGGCATAAGCCACATACCAACTGGAACCAGTGGCAATGCATAAGGTTTTATTTTTTGCTTAAATGTGTAAAGCGTATCACAATGCTTTCATTAACCAAAGCACTAATAGGTTATACAAACTATTAATATATAAATACATTCATTAGTAATTATAAAATATAAAGTATGACTTAAAAATTGATATAAAATAGAAAAAAATTGGTACAATGCGTAACTTGAAAGGAATTATTGATGGTAAACCTGCAAATTAAAATTTTGAACAATTTCTGATAGTTTGTTGCAATAATTAAAAAATTTAAAATAGAAAATAAAAACCTGCAAATTAACTTCAATGCTTTGAAGCGCTTCTCAGTGAAACAAAGTAGGCATCACCCGATTTGCTTGTGAACCGCGCTTGTAACAATATGAATGGAACTTTAGTTATTCTTTGAAGATTTGACTAGCTTTCTACAACTTTCTTCTGCTTTGTACATGCTTTTGTGGTAGGAAAAATAACCAGTTAAAGTAGGTGCTGTTTGGAGGAAAAAAAACATGCTGCATTTCCCCCTTTTTTTTATAATTTGCTTCAGAAAAACTGAATTCGAGAAAGCAGAACAATAATTAATTGTTACCGAAATGGAGCTTTTAAAAAGACTAATGAAGTAAAAAGCAGAAAGGAATAACCCATGCCAAATGAAACCTTAGTTATTATTGAAGATTTGACTTTCTCTCAGCTCTCTAGCTTCTGTTTTCTACTTGCCTTTAGTGGTAGGAAAAATAACCAGTTAAAACAGGAGGTGCTTGGAAGCAAAAAATTGGCTACATTTTCCTTATTTTTTCCCCCATAATTTACTTTGGAAGAGCTGAATTCGAGAAAGCATAACAATAATTGTTACTAAACTATAGCTTTTAAAAAGAGTCATAAAGTAAAAAACAGAAAGACATAGCCATACCAAATGAAACCTTTGTTATTCTTTGAAGATTTAACTAGCTTTCTACAGGCTTTCTATCTTTATATGCATTGGGACATGAGGAGACATGAAGTAATTACTGCATAATACTTAATTTAACTTATTCCCTAAAAAAAACACGAAATGCTCTTTCTCTTAATTTTCTTTTGTTCATTGAACATTGACCATTATCTTTGAAATTTTTTGGCTTTATAGTCTATACTAAAAAGGTCTATACTAAAAAGTGAACAGAGATTTTTTTTTTTTTAATCAAACTGTCATGTATCGGCGCACTTATTCAGAGTTACTTTTGTACTATCTGTTGTCTCTGAAGATACATACATGTGATTTGTTGACGCTTTCCCTCTTATCAGACACCAGTTCATGTATTATTGGCTATCAACTGAACAATGTGTTTGAGGCTGACAGATATGTTCTCAAAAAGAAAGTTGCAAAGCATTTATGTTGGACAAAAGATTTTGGATTTAAATGCAACGCCTACTTACATGCTTAATCTACTTTTGAGAAGCACATACGTTTAACTGTGTTTATTTTCCATGTTCAATAGACAGTTTTTTTTTTATTACTTTTTTTGTTTTTTCTTGCAGGACATCCGAGTCTTTCTCACCAATTTGCTTACCTCATTACAATTCTATGGCGTTCCTTTATGCTTACGTTAATTATCTGGATGTGAGTCTCTAGTTCAGCTTCTGCATCTATTATGAATTTTGAGGTTGTATCCTCCTTTGAAATTATTTTGATTGATGTTCTTGTGTGGCTGCTCAAGCCTATATGGTTCTTTGTGTTTTAGCTGTACTGGACCCCAAAAAAGGCTGATGAAATTTACATTATTTTATAGGTTGATACATACTTGGCATTGCTTAGTACTAATTCAGACGGCTTCTACCATCTAAAAGAGTGCAGGTGGGTTTCTAGCTTTGTAGCAATAGACAATATGGTAGAATCGGTTTGCAAATTTAGGCAAATCAAACGAGCATTTTGAGTATTTAAAAATAATTTATTGAAAGCTTAATGCGGGCAAGGCTTTTGGAATATTACGCTGAGATTGTCATATTGGTTTTGTTGTAATGGAAGATTCCTTCTTATGAATAGGATTCAGATTGAATCTGTGCTTGTTAAGTCAAACGTTCTTGGAGAAGTTCAGAAATCACTATTGGATGGTGGACTTCATGTTGAGGACCTTCCAGTTGATTCATCTATTCAATCTGGGTCGCCATCTCCACATCTAGATCAGGGCAGACCTGCATCTTTGTCTGGCATTGGTGGGCCAGCAGGACTTTGGAATTTTATTTATCGGAGTATCAATCTTAACCAATATGTCTCGTCAGAGTTCTCCTCGCCCTTAAATAGTTCCCGACTACGCAAAGGGTATTGTATTTGGAGTGCATCGATTTGTTTCTTCAGACTTTGAACTTGGTGATCTATTCGTTTTCATTTATCTATTTGTTGCTATGCTTGCTAGATTGTACAGGGCTTATCAGAAGCTGTATGAATCCATGCATGATAGACCTATTGGTCCACATAAAACTCAGTTCAGAAGAGATGAAAATTATGGTAAGGCACTAACTTGTGGCAAGTAGTCAACCTTGTTTGGTCGAATAACAAATTTTTCATTTTGCTCTTCAAAAATGATCTGTTTTAGAATGTTTTCTTTGCCTTTATTCTTGTCCGCCTGAAATTATGGTGCCCTTTTCCACACAAATAGGAACATGTCTTGATAACTTTCATGAATGTTGGACTGCCTTAGCTTTAGCGACACTGTCAGCTGATTGGAAGGGAGGATGCCTGCATGTTGGAGTTGCCTTTAACTCGTTGTACTCAGAATTTGACTGCTGTTACCTTTACTTGTGCTAATCAGTTACGAACACAGTATTGTTGACCTCATTTTTAGTGAGGTCTAGTCTTTCTCTTAGGGTTTAGGATCTAGCATTAGGAATCTCTCTTTGACTATCCTAGAACCTTAGAAATGGAACCCGCCTCATTTTAGAAATTCAACCTACTTCTGTATCCTTTTGGAGTTTCGCGTGTGTGGTATCGACTTCTAGCGCTTAGAAGGGTGAAACCAACACGAGAGAACCCAAAAGGAGTCCCTATAGGACCTTTAAGCCTTAGGGTGGCCTTTTGCACAATTTGCACTCCCGCTCGTACAAACTTCGCAATTCGGAGAGTCGACACGTCCGATCACTACAATTCACACCGCTTGCACCGTTATCTGTCGAGGACTCGAATAGATTTTGGAGACGATCGATCGCATGTTGAAATGTTATGAAATTTGAATTTTGACGTGTTTTTGACCCGATTGTCGGCGATGTCGTCCGAGCGACCCTGGATGACAAAACGGACTGCACCGGCGCGTCCGAAATGTCGATTTTGCCTAGGGAGGACACCAATTTTGCTAGTTCCTTTTTTTACTATATATTAATAATAATAAAAAATGAATCCTCCTTTTTTTCTTTTTAAAGCCCTCCTAAATCCCTAAACCCACACACCCAAGCTCTGCATCCCCTCCCCTCCCCC